TGCAGCCTTCCAGTACTTAAAGGGGGCTTATAAGAAAGATGGGGACAAATTTTGCAGGGCCTGTTGTGGTAGGACGAGGGATAATGGTTTTAAACTAAAAGAGGGTACATTTAGACTAGATATAAGGAAGAAATTTTTTGTGATGAGGGTGGTGAAACACTGGCACAGGTTGCCCAGAGAGGTGGTGGATGCCCCATCCCTGGAAACCCTCAAGGTCAGGTTGGACTGGGCTCTGAGCAACCCAATCTAGTTGAAGATGTCCCTGCCCATGGCAGGGGGGTTGGACTAGATGACCTTTAAAGGTCCCTTCCAACCCAAACTATTCTATGATTCTATGATTCTATGAACTGGCTTGCAAGACAGGGCAATAAAGAGTGGAGAAGTGTGTTCCACTCACCTTGTCATCCTTTCACCCAAGGTACACAGAGAGAAGTAGCTGGTCGCATGAAGTACTGTTGTCTTTTACTGACTACTGTTTGGACCTTAGCTGGCTGCATTAGGACATCAGATTGTGGTACATAGGAGACTCACAACACCACAAATTTTGGGAGAGGATGTTAAGAGTTCATACCCCTCACTAGCTGTTGGCCACTAACCTTTGGGGAAGAATGGTCAGAAAGGTGTTAATGGAAGCTTTTTTGGCAAGTGGCCATAGGATTTGTATCTTTTTCCTTTTCTACTGCAACTGCAAGAGAAGAAGTTTTATCTGTTCCCATGACTTTCAAGGGCTAAGCCAAGAAAAGATGGAGGAGCTCCACCATTATTCAATTAGAGTTGTAGAAAGTATTTATCATGATATCTAAACTAACTCAGAACTCCCCTGGTTTCTGATTTCATAGGAACCCTGAAAGAAATATTGTGTATAACCAGGGATTCACTGTTGTTCTAGTATTTTCACACTTCCTTCAAGTAAACTTAAGATATTTAGGATTTCTGTTGGAGCATGTGAAAATTCTAGGTTTTTTTAATGCTGTTAAACCAAACAAGTGAATCAGTGTGCTACCTTCTAAACTGGAATTTGGAAGTGTGAAACAATGAGAATGAAAACCAGAGAGGTTTCTTTGATCCCATTTTTGTTCTAGCTTGTCCATTGAATGAGGAGGTTATATAATGTTATTTATGGCTAATTTCTAAATGAGAAATACAATTGCATTTCCTGTATGTTGCATAAAACAGAAACAAATTTGTCATATAGATTAGCTACCTTTGGAGAAGCCAGAGCTTTGAAAAACTTCAAGTCCTGAATTATGTCCACATGTTTAGGCTTTTTTAAAACTGATGGTGATCTCGTCAGTGACTTCCACCTGTACACACAAGACAGAAAAAATCTGTTGCTCCTATCAAAATGACAATTTTGAATGTAGCATTCTTAGCTGATTCCAAAATAAAATTATTTTGAAGTATAAATTATTCCATATATCTTCAAAATATAATTTATATTAGGACCTTCATAGGTGTTATGAAGTGCTTCACTAACATTTTCTCAATCCAGATACTGGCTTGTCATCTTTAGGAGGCTGGAAATGTTAATATAAAAAACACTAGTGTTGTGGTTTAACCTCTGTTGGCAACTGAGCACCACACAGCCGCTCGCTCACTCCAGCCCCTGGTGGGATGGGGGAGAGAGAATTGGAAGAGTAAAAGTGAGAAAACTTTATATACTGAGCATGACGTCACATGGTATGGAATATCCCTGTGGCCAGTTTGGGTCAGCTGTCCTGGCTGTCCCCCCTCCCAGCTCCCTGTGCACCTCCAGCCTTCTCAGTCGGTAGAGCATGGGAAGCTGACAAGTCCTTGACTGGTGTGAGCACCACTTAGCAACAACTAAAACATCGGTGTGTTATCAACATTATTCTCATGCTAAATCCAAAACACAGCATTGTACCAGCTACTAGGAAGAAAATGAACTCTATCCCAGCCAAAACCAGAACTAGTTACCACAACTGGGTGCTAACTCACTGACTGATAATGGCTTTTCAGCATTTCTGTCAGTTCTGACTACAATTCCTGTATGCCACTTTCATAACAAAGAAGGTTTCCTCTGCTCATATGTCTGGTTTCCAAAGTTAATCACAAGAAAAAATGATCTAGAGTAGAGTGTCTGTTAGTGTAGATTAACAGAGTTTCATTTACAATCAGAAAAATTGTCAGATCACACAAGCTAAGGAATTATAAACTACAGAGAGAAACTGAGACTATTCTTCTATATCGGTCTATCTACCTGCTGACATTTTTCAATAGGTCACCTGAGCCACTTGTTTAAACTGTAAGCACCTATGCTATTCAGCTGGGTTTATCCCTTTTCAGGTATATGCCCATTTGGAGAATATCTGTTTATTTTATAACTTGATTTGTTAATCGAAATTCTAAAATATTATCTTAGTGACTTATATGACAGCTATTCAATAAGTGAATTGTTGTAGCATTGTGAAGATAACTGACTTGACCCAAGAGAAGCTGCTGTATCCTGTAAAGAACTAAACCTAGCATCCATAAGTAACACAGCCTTTTGGCTGATGGTTGGCTAGCTATCCATTATGCTATTTGGTACAATTAACCCGGAGGAATCAAATTACTCTGGAGGTGGCAGCACACAGTATATACAATGATAAGACTGAAACTTTGTATTATGCAGCGTGTGGCCGTCTTTTTTTTTTCAATTCTCTGCACAGTTAAGCAGGCTTCTCATTTGCTTCCAGTCTGTTTAATTAATGTGTTTTAAATGTATGATAGCCATTCTTCTTTAATTAAATATTTGAAAAGGTCCTCAAAAAGTAGTCACAGTTTGACACAGGCATGTCATTTATGGAAAGTTTCTTTAAGGATAGCTGGCTGAATTTTAGTATCTTTGATTCCAGAGGTTTCAAACTAGCTGCTGACTATTCGAAAGGACTCCAGGGGTTAGTCCTTCAAACACAGCCAAGCACTTCTCTGTGTTGATGAGGTACTGTTCTGACTTCAGTGGGACTACTCACATTAGTAAGAACTCTATGGAATAATAAGTGTTAGCAGGATACCGACCTAAATGGGGTAACAGCAAAGCACATTAGAGATTTCCCATTGTCTCAAAGTGCTTTGGTTAAAAGGTAGCCTAAGAATGCACATGGTGTATGAAACCTTACCACTAGAGCATGCATGACTTTTTAAGCCCTGAAGTAATTTTTCCCAGATTTGGACTGCTTTGTTACTAAAGGCAATGTGCATGTTGCCTCTGAAGATTCCTGCTTCAGTATTTATGTTCATTTGGTCAACCCACTAATTAATGAACCAGGGAGCTCCAGGACTAGAAATATGACTTAAGCTAGAGGGCCAAGGCTCTCTGGCTTGACTTGTAACTAACCCACATCCCTTGAGAACTCTACCTAGGAGGAGAGAGGTCCAACACTGCTATTGAACACACAACATTTATGCCAGTGTCAGAACGTCATGATCAGAGGTACGTGAATGTATCCGTAACATCCCAGGAAATTTGAGAAGACCATTTTTTAAACTGAAAGATTAAATTGGGTTTATTCTTAGAGAAAGATTTGGGTTTGGGTTGAAACTATTCACATTAAGCTTTTTCAATAAGTTTTTTTTGATCCCAGAAGTATATCAGCTTGTGGAACTGGAACTGGAAAGGAAACAGGCTGCTAACCTGAACAGTGTATATAACATACAGACTCTAATTAGGCTAAAATCTGAGACAATTATCTAGTCATCACTATTACTGAATTCAAATCCTGAACATCACCTAATCCTGACTGTCACCTAGTCATAACAATTGAGATTTATTCATGCTGTGTAAAAAAATTTTTAAAAAGGATTTTTCTAAATAACTCATAGGAAATACTAGTATTTTTTCTGACCTTCAGGTGAAAGGTGCTTTTTAAGTATATTTTCAGAATTGTTCCCCCAATCATACATATATGTAAATGTATGAGATCTTACTTGTCCCTGTCCAGCATTAGAGGATATTCAAACTTCTTCTTTTCCACATGCTTGCTTTCCTCTTTAATTATAGTAGGAAAGTTATTAACATCACAAGGCAAAATCAACCGACGAATATCTGGTAATTCGAACTTCCTAGGTTGTCCGAAGTAACCAAGATAGTATCCATCCATGGCATGCCAGAGCCTACAGACATAGTAGAAGCAGTGCCAAAGGACAGAAAGGAAAAACGGATACTTTTAGAAGTGGAATAGAAGTGACAAAATATTTGTCTACATTATCAAGTTCTGCAGCACTGTTCTAGAGTTCAGTATGCTAGTCATAAAAAATGAAAAATCTCAGAAGGATGTTGTAAAAATCGGAAAACAGACAGTTCATCTTTATAGTTATGAAACTGAGGAGTAAAGGCACCAATATCCTGAATTGCTCCTACAGTGAGGTGCTGCCACCAGAGCAGGATCTACACAAAATTTCCCCATTGATTCCCCCCAAAAACCAAAAGAAACCCCTTCAAATGTACTTGTTAGCCAAGAAGGAATTACAATTGTCTATAAAGCATCTTCAGACTGCAGTGGTTTAACTGCATAAGCATTGGTTAGATGCGATGCTTAGGACCCATGTCAATTTAACAAGTATTGAAAGCTAAAATAGGATTAGAACAGGAGGTCGTTTCTAAAATGATGGGGCTGTTACCTATGCATTCAAGGTCACCTTGCTGAAAGAAAATGACAGTCTGCAAAAGGTCTGACTTCCTGAGAAAACTGGAAGTGTTACATTAAAAAATTAGTTATTTCAGGTGCAGAACAGAAAATGCACCCAATGTTGTATTTTATTTAAGTTCTAGCCTATATACAAGTCCAGCAAGAAGGGGAACTTTGGAGACAGTTCAACTGCTTGGCCATAGCAGTAAGAAGTATTAGTCATTTTTGTACCTGACTGAACCATCGATGGATGCTGTCACTACCACATTTTTCTCCTCTTCGTGAAATAAGGCAACCACTTCATTAGAGTGTGCCCTCCAGCAGAGCTCCTCCTTTATTTGCTGAGGGAAAAAAGCAACATAACCACATTTCAGGCAGTTCTGTATGCCACCATGGTTGCTAGCTTAGTATATTTATCAGCATGGCTTTCTGAAAATTAAAAGAGGTGAAAAACTAATCCCTCCATGAAACAGCCTGCAAATGGCATGTGGTAGAAACATGACTCAGGGGACATGGATAAATTCATTCTTAACATAGCCTCCTTGAACACAATGGAATAATGCTAACAGCATTTTACTTATGTTTTTGTTATTTTTCACAGCATCAAGTTATTATTTCAAGCAAAAGACATGACCTTTATGTGCAGGAAACATTTTTAGTCCCCATAGAGCTCTGAATCCATTTTTCTCTGTTTGTCTTATCTTGGTATACTGTTCAAGTTAAGAAAATCTGTTAGATTTTTCCTTACATTTTTACTATTTTGTGGATCTTCTAAGAATGAGGCAATGCTCCAGCACATAATATGTCCCTCTGTTTAAGAAAGGAAAAAGCAAAATATCAATAAATTTCATTACTGCTACACATTCTCTAGTTGCTACCATATGCTCTTGGTCAACACTGGGCAGAATGAAGCAGAGATTACAGGTCAGTGAAAGTTATTTTAAGGTGAATGTCACTATTTCATTGTCAAGCACAGAGTAGAAAATAATGGACCATTCATTAATATGCAAAGAAATATGTATATTCTTTGTGAGCAATGTGTCATTAACTGGATAGGTTTGAAATGGAAAGAACATAAAGTTTTTTCTTTAAATGACATGAGTGAAAAATAAGAGTCGCCTTGTCAAGACAGTTATCTATTGCACAAACTAGGTATGAGAGCTTCCTGGGGATTAAACTGTTTTTCAATCCTGGTAAAGTGGACGAAGTTTGATTAATTGCATACATAATGAAAGCTTAATGTTTTACAACCTTTTAGTGCACTCATGTGAAGCTAGAATCAAAGAATCATTTTCCTTATGACCCACAACTGCTCAGTTTCCTGCCTAGGATCCCTCTTTCCTGATGAAGTTGCCTCTTGTCTCTCATTTCTACTACTAGACAGAGGAATCTCTTGTGTAATTCCAACCTTCATACTGGTCAACATCTGTTTCTAGGACTGTACATTTGCAAGCAAGCAAGGAGGCTGACAGGGAAGTTGACCTTTCCCTAACATGGAAAAATCTGTAATGGGAACAAGAAATCGGTAGTAGCACTGCAAATAAAAGAGAAGGGTGCGGAAAGCATGAAAAGCAAATACACAGTGGCGCAAACACAAAAGGACAAAGGGAGAGTATCAGATGAATAGGTAATAGGGTGGATACTTTTCCACAACTAATTAAAAACCTGTTCAGTGCATGCTGTCTTCTTGAACTCATTTACTGATTTGAATCAATGGGGAGTGGAAACTCCTCTTCATTTTCAGCATTAACGTCAAGCTACTGCTCAGTTTTGAAACATGGGAAAAAAACCTTTGCTCCATCCAACTTCTGACAGTGTAAGAGCAGGAAGCTGGCAGGTAACAGTTCTAATAGGTATTTTAGAAGAAAAGTGACACATTAAAGGACAAAAATCTCAGATGCAGAAGAGGAAAATTGCCAGGGTGACTCTAAAGGCTTGGAGGAGAATCAGGCAGCAGATAAACTCTTGGACTTTCAGCCAAATGAAAGCCAGATTTGGTGTGAAATTAAAAGTCTAACAATGAGCTGCTAGCACAGACCATAAGTGCTTTCTTTCCTTATATAGCAGTGTACTGCTGAAGCCATTACTGTGCACTCCATACCAGTGTTCGAATCATGGCTCTTGGTACAGCCACAGCTGCAGTTTTTTATTTAGTTTTATTACCGTGGATGTGAAATTTTTGCTTGTTTTTAGCAGTAATCTTTGCCCTTGGTATGAATACAGTTATTCAGATGAAAAGAATATGCAGGGCTTGTGAATAAAGAAAATTGTAATGTCTTTTATGAAAACAATTCTACTGATAATGCTATTATTGTAATGCTAAGCTTTAATCTACCATCCTTTCATACCAGAAAATACCTTTTTCAATTATTTAATTATAGCTTTGATGGAGAAAGTCCGGCAGCATTTGGACATTCATTTCCACATTTCTGGCACATTTACAACATGGTATTTTGTGGTCCTACAAACTGTCCTGAACAGAATGAATAGCATGTTTACTCACCCTTACTGCCTGCCAAAAGCATTTTAGCGGAGATGTCTGTACATAGTGCTGTCAGAGGAACTGAAGGATATTTTGAAAATGGCAAAAGTTCTTTCACTAAGTTTCCCTAAAATAAATAAATGAATAAACACACACATATTTCTCTTTATAATATCTACATGAAAAAAATAATAATCAATGCATCAGAAGTTGAGTGCCATTGATTTGATCTATTCAGCGTTACTCAGCTCGTATCTACTCAGAAAGCAGCTAGAAAGGTAGTTTCCTAATCTACTGAATGACCAAGATAGCTGGGATGTATTCTTCTTCAGGTTGCCATCTCTTCTACATTAAAAGAACAAGCTATTTCACTCCTCAGGCAATTCACAGTCTATCTGTACCTACCCCTACTTTACCACTTATCTCTCATTTGCTGTGGGATATCATCAGTATGCATCTCATTTGCTACTGAAATACCGTTTCTTGCTGCAAATGGAGCCATGATGTCTCCTCCACCAACTTGTTATATTTTTCAAGCAAGCATTAGCAGACTTTCTCCCTTATTGTCTCTTCAGGTTTGAGAGGAGGTGAGGGAGAAAGTCTTGCTGATAAGGAGAATCTTGACTGTGTCATCCATGTAACGATGATGACAATCATGTCAGTGATGACATCACCATCATCTGAACTTTGAGATTCCTACAGGAATCTAAGCACACTAATATGTCAACCATGAAGACAACAAAACCCAACACAGCCCACACCTACTGTACTTGGGGACATTTACCATCATACTCTATTTTTGCATAAAACATCTGCAAAGGTACCTCACCGTCTTTCTGAAAAATTCTCGCTATGACTTGCCTTTGCTGGGATTCCTGTTAAAGCCTTACATGGCTGACGTATTGTGATCACTGTCTGCCACAATGACCAATACTACCGAGTCATATCATGGTACTCCCCCTTCTTTCTGCATTTACTTTTTATCTCTTGTTTAGAGTAACATGTTTTCTGGAATAGAGTCTCATAGGTCTGAGGTGATATGACAACTAAGCCATTGGCATTCTGTTGTATGACTGGCTTTACAAGCTGATTATAGCTGTAGACGCTATGTATTAGGATACTATTCTCTCCTGATTTGTAACCCTACTAGTGCTAGCTGGCTTGTGCAATGTTCCAGACATATTTCTCCTCTTCTGAGAGTAGGACACTCTGCCTTGCCTATCATCCTTTCTTAGAAGGTAAAAGATGTGGGTGAAAAATCAACTTCTAGACTTTCACATAATTATTTCAAATCATGTTTCTTCATTTTCCACTTGCCATAACTCTCTGCTACAGTTATTAAAGCAGAACTAATTTGTGTCTGTGGAAGGAACTATAAACCAAAAAATGCAATAAAACATCTGCTGCTGCAATTGCTAGTTAAAAAGCATGTTTCCAAAGATTAGTAGAATTACCTTCTCTGTGGTCCAGTCCCATCCCAAAGACATTCAGATAGCTACCTGAGTACTCCATAGGCAGATACAGCCATTTTCATGAGCAGAAGCCAATATTGGTGAGTATCCTGCTACAGCTTTGGATAACTGTACATTCGTCTTCAAGTATTGGATATTCTTATACCTAGTTGTGTCTTCTGCTTTGGAACACAAATGATCATACATTTTCTCAACAATTTTTAGTACTGCTTTTGAATGTACAGAAATTACATAACACTAGAAAAAAAGTAAATTTTAAAATAAACTCCATCATCAAGATGGCGTTACTCTGAAAACATTACAGATATGGATAAAAGACAGCTGAAAAGAAATTAGAACAATCTTCATGATCTTATCTAAACCAGCCAGAATTATTGCTCCATGATGCAGGGGAACCTTATTTAAAGCACAGCAACAGATTTCACAGAAACAGCAAGCACCAGTGAGAGTGGAGAAGTGCAAGACGGTGGTCATCAGGACAGCTGCGAGGCAGTTCTGCAGCCTCTGCATGAGGCTTCTAGAGATTACTATCAATTCAGCAATGAAATGAAGTTTAATAACTAAATGTCACAACAATTCTGGAATCACAGATTTCTATACTTACTTCTCAAGTTCAAAACTTTTGCTAAATGCAAGGTGGTGGTCACAGAGAACCTTTTTTGAGTTCCTGCTGTGACTTTCCCAGAGCTGGAGGGGCTGGAGGGTCCCATGAAAGTCCCCAGTGAAATGAACATTCAGTGAATGCAGGACCTAACAGGAGTGTCTATTTCATTGAGCAGCTACAAGACTTAGGGATATTCTAGTTTCAGGGCATATTTTCTTTGCAAAATAAATTCAGCTTAAATCCACATTTCAGATGATCAAATTTCTTGTTATTGGGAAAGTCTGCTTTCCAGCAGAGGATGTCTAAAGGATTCAGAAGAATCTGGAGCATTTGCTTCTTGCAAATTCATCGACTCCATTTGCACAGCTTTAACTCTTAAGCATTTGGCTCTCTCTTGTTTCTGTTGTTTTAAGGATATATACTATAGGGAAGATTTTTCCTTCTAAAATTCCATCTGCTTTTGAAGATTTTCTCTGTGAGGCCATTCACTCATACTTGACTCAAGTTGGCTCTTGCTATACCATTTCAATAGTTAACTGCTTGAATGTTTATGTGGAAGAGAAGTGTGTATAGTTGACATTCCCAAATTCTGCAAGGTTTTCAGCATCATGTCTATTTAGAAAAATCAGCCATTTAAGCCCTTGCATATCCTGAATCCTGGCCTGGCTTTTGGGAAATAACTGCAAATCAGGGGTGAGCAAAAGATGTTGAGGTGTGTCATCCACATACCAATGGTATCCCAAGTATTCTAAACACAGTTTGCCAAACAAACTGACAAACTCAGTTTCTATGGTAATCTGGGAAGAACTTATGGATCAACAACAAAGAGAATGAAAAACATCTTTCCATACCTGTTGTTATTTGAGTATTAATTTCATCACTTCTTACATTTTCCTAAAAGCAAGGAATAAAATGTTACAGAATTAGAAAATGGAACTTGGGTATAATTACAGAACAGATCTTTATTTGAAATTATTTTAAGAACTTAAATTTTTTAATTGAAGAATTCAAATATTCCCCCAATTTCCATTCAATCTGGGGCAGCACTGAGTGAAAACAAGAAAAATTTCATCTGAAGAGAATCAAAATCACAGATGAACAAATCACAAATGATGTTAATTGGAATTTAGGAGCATGCTAAAGGTAAATTTAGCTGAATGGCATTAATTTCTCAGGACAAGCAAAGTCGATCTCTTACAGTCACGTGAATGTAACTTAGATCTCTTACTTAGAGAGTTTAATTCAGAACATGCATATAGTCTTATTACTGCCTTGAGCAAAGATGAACACAGTGCATAAATAGCAGTAACATTTACTCATATCTGCATCTTCAGTATGAGAATTGTCACAGTCCTTCATTTGTGCCTCGTTATATAGGCTTCTGAGGATCCCCAAGGCTGAGAGTTATCAGTACACTGGCCTCAAAAATTGCCAAGTCAAATAAAGCAGGAACAACTATGCAGCCATGAGTGTTTGAGGTATCTTAGAAGAGGAAAAGCCACTTCAGTCTCACCCTACCTATTGATCTGTAAGGCTTGATGTGTTCGGCTTTTGGGGATCTTTTTAAGAGCTGCAAATGACTGTCCATTTTGTTATTCCAATGACTACATAGCACAAGATATTGTGTACTTTAGTTTGTGGATGACAGTTAGGCCTGTGTCTACTTGGGAATCTATGAAAGTGCCATGCTCTGCTGAAACAATATGCTGGAAAGAATCTGAGAGGTAGCAGGATTTTCCTCTTTTTGCCTACTTGCTATTTGTTGCTCTGCAGATATGGCATGTTCTTCTGGCATAAAAGGACAAAAAGAAGTGTCACAAAAATCATAATGCTATCCTTAGTAAAAATACACAGATTGAGACACTGGCCTCTTGATGGTAAATTAACAAAAGTTCTCATACTGTCATTTGAAAGCAATGTATCCAAGCAAGTGTGGCTGCAATGTAGATATGGTTCCACTTTTATTCAAATACTTCATGATTTGTCTATTTTACCTTCCCCTTTGAATTCTTCTATACCCCCATTTGAAAGTCGGAATTGCTAGTGATAAGCATCTGACAAACACTTTGACAGTCAGCTATTCCATGTATCACAGAGCTAGCTGCCTGACAGAATGTATTCTTAATTCCCCACCTCATTCAGCTTAGGTGAACAAAGTTCATTTCTCTGCGATATTTAGTTTTGTGCATGGCTTTATGGAGGGATTTTAGTAAGCTACAGGATTTTAAAACTAAAACCAAAATGAAAACGGAAATTTGTTTTGAATGCTACTGAATCCATGAAGCCACTATACCTACCTTATGTAGGTTCAAAGAACTGCTCTTGTGCTCTGGAATGGCACTGATATCACTCCTCACAGTAGCAGTAGTAGAGGGCAGGGAACTAATTTTCCTGTGTGAAAGAAATTATTGGAGATCACTGACATTCTTGAAGATACTGTTTGCTATCTGGAAATCAACATCATCCAGTGTAATAAAGCATAATAAAATAGTGCCTGAATTGATTAGACTGATTAGACTAAGGGTTGTTAGTGGTTTAGAAATTTATCCAAGCAACTAGGCAGTATTTGCATATTACACAGCCAGCCTCTCCTGTCAGGAGTTTTGAGCAAATTAAATCCATAGTAAACCGAAATTAACACTGGTGTTCATCCTCAAGAAGTGAAGGGGAAAAATTCAGTGCATGCCAATGGCTTGTTCCCTTTCATTTTACACAGTGCTTTGCTCTGCAAATAGTTTTCAATTAATTATAGAAACTTATTTTCAATCTGTTAAGATAAGGATCAGAAATGGGATTCTGTGGAAGAAACTCAGGAAAAAAATTTGGAGGTGGTCTTCGATGTTTGTGTTTCTGAGTCAAGAAAAGTTCGAACTCTGCTAGTGAGAGGTTCTGGCCACATAACTTACACCAATGTCACAGCTGCTCTGGTTTTGACAAGAGTATCTGAATAACTGGGATAATGTAAAACACAGATAGAAAGTATGCAGCTGGGGTAGCCCACTTAAATTTGGACAGGTGGCCATGACTTTGTAATTTTTCAGTGTTTGATTTTACAAACTTGCTACCATTCTTGAACTTTGTGTGTGTATATATGCTCACAGTCAAATTCATCCAGGTACCTTCCCGGTACGTACAAAACATCCTAAGCCTATATGATTCAAAGACATTGTAGGATCCTCCTGCTTAAGCATAATCAGAACTTTTCTTGATTTATAAAAAATGCTATTTGTGAATTGTAATCACCACATTTTAATTTAGCTAGGATTTATTAAATTAATAATTAAGCTATAATCTCAATAAGCAAATTTATGTTCAATTAAGTGGCACTGGTACATTTAGGGGTGTAGTAAATGCATAAGCTACTTGAAGGTTTTAAAGCAACATAAGACCATAAACCATCCCTATGATTCAGGAGAGCAAAAAAGCTGCTTAATTGCTTAAGACCCTAAAGCCGCATAAATATTTAAACCATACTGAGCCCTTTTGGCTACCATTGCCTTTGCATATCCATTGGAAGACAAGCACTTCTGAAGTTATGTACACGTGCAATGCCTTTCTCTCAAAATGAATATATTTGACTACAATTTTGTTCTCCATCCAACACTACCAACCTATGCCAGCTTCTAGTTTGTTTTAAGATGAAACTTGAGCCTGCTTACTTCAATGAGCTTGCCTCTCTCTTTGTTTGCTGAGAGTATCTAATACTGTGAGGACTGTATCAGGTTTAAAATAAAGAAAAAGCCTGCTGCCACACAGAGTTAGCTCACAGAGATAAGAATCAAAGAAGGTACAGTACACAGGAAAACTAATACCTGACAAAAGCTGACTTCTGTTGAATTCTTCAACAGAATTGAGACTTATGAGGTCATTTAGAGGACAAAAGGATAGCTTAGTGGACTGGTAAAAAAAGAACATATAATATGGATTGATAAGCATTACACAAGTTTAAGGATGGGAAAGCTAATTAACTGTTTGAACTTGAATTGATTAAATGCAAAGAAAATCTCAAATGAAATCAGCTGTCTTGGACAAACATTACATCAGTTTACTACAACAAATTTCCAAATGACTACGCCTGTCCTGGGGGAAGATAAAATGCACACAGTTACCTGGAAGAGAAAGCACTATGTACAAGGAATAACATGGCATTGACTCCAGATGCTTGAAGAACTGACGCCTGGCTGTCTTCATTAATTTTACACCTGAAAATAAAGATGTTTGTACAGGATGTGTCAGATAGGTTGTGCATTGTTCCCAGAAAAAGTTGCAGACTTTATTTGTAATCTAAAACATTAAACATTTCATTTCCCAGAATGAATGTCACCTAAAAGTTTTAGATACAATTTTTCAGAATCAGTTAATCAGTCATGATGGATTAATGTCAGTGAAGAATAGGTACAGAATGTGCCTGTGCCAGGAAAAACAGGAACCTGATGGAATGATGAACATTTCATTCAGCCAAGTATTTTCTTGAGAATTAGTATTTAAGAGAAAAGTAAAGTAACTTATGTTGAAGTTAACTAGCTAAGTTAATATTAGAAAAGTACCTTGTTCCTGGCATTCAAACCAGTTGTGTGAACCCTGGGTAAAATACTCTACTTACAAAGCACTGACTTTCCTGTCTTCCATGCATCCACATGAATTGGCCCCCTCATATATGGGGAGGCAAAAGCAAACGAAGAGCCAGAGCCAGAACTGCAGTTAAGTTTTGCTAATTTCCCGTAGTATAGAAAAACTCAGCTCACTTTCTCACAAACATGCCAATTTTATACATGAAGGATGCTGTGAAACTATTGGGTAGGATAGTTAAATATTGACTTTGTATGGTCTTAAAAGGTGTGCGTTCCATCACCAACACAGAAATACTGCCGTGCTGCTCCACTCAGTCTAACCAGACATGTTGTCATTGTTCACTTTCCTGTGAACTTCCTGTAGCAGCTTAATCCACATGAGAATATCTGGAACCATCCTATGCTCACTTTTTGTCACTTTCTGTGAAAGATTTTTACTCCCAAACCTCCAAAATCACTTCAGATTTCTCCTTGTTAAATGTGACCTCTAGTCTTCTAGGTATAGACAATGATACTGATACTGATAATGTAGAACATCTGCCATTATCATCTGAAGTAGCATTATTTCCAGATATCCTCCTAAACACAAAACTTCCAAAATACGGATGTTTCTACAGCTCAGTAGCAGCCTCTAGTCAATGACAGAGTGACTTAACGTAGTGAGAGTTTCCTTCAGTGGCAGTGCCGAGTTATGCTAAAACACTATTCTTAATTACATCATCCCTTCCCCAAATGACTCTCTCTCTTGATCACTTCTCCTACCTGCAATGTCAGGACTAGCTAGCAAAGTAATTTGAAGTGGGAGAGAGGGGGGCCCACATAAATTGCTACTTTAACTCCTGCTTGTCCATCACCCTTTACAGTTGGGTATCTTAGAATTTCCAGTATGCCATTTGAAAAGTTTGTATGAAATACTAGAGATCAAAATGCCTCCATGAAAGCAATACTTACAGGCATCTCACAGAGGCAGATTCAAAATCCCACAAAATTATTGCACCATTTGCACTTCCTGTAGCTATCAAACTGCATCCTTCTACTTTTAAAACATCAAAACACTTCATTTGCACAGAAGGTACAAAATTCTACAAAGAACATATTGAAAAAAAAAAATTGAGTAGGAGCAATGTGGACATTAAAGAATGAAATGTTTTAACTGTTAATTTAACAAGATGACTAAATTGACAGTGTCTACAACAACTGCATATTCAATACTATTCTAATACTATTGTATTTGAGCTATGCAGAAACACCAGAAGGAAGCAGGGAGCGATAGTACTGGGAGACACCCTGCTGCAGAGGACAGCGGCCTCCATTTGCCAACCTGACCTGCTATCTACGGCACAGTCACAATTAAAGCATGTAAAAACAGCTGTAAGAACTGAAGATTAATCACAAATAGATATCTATGGAGATACTCTAACCAGGTTAAAGGAATAAGTCACTGAACAGAGATATAATGACCTTTCCATAAACATCATCCAGATCTGTTACAGAGTTAGTGAAATTATACAAAACAAAACTTAAGCCTCGTGGACTATTCAGGTTAAATTGGTCAACAATTGAAACATAAATTTGACATCTTATTTTACCAAAGCAGTAAGAAGAGAAAATGGAATCACTTTAACACCCAGCTTGATCTTTATGTGCCACTATTACTGAAGGTCAGTCTAGCTATAGTAATGAACCGCATTTCATTTCTAGAAGACTTTATACAAGAACCTCAACTAACTATTTTGTACAGGAATGTGAAGTGTATGTTCAGAGCAGCTGCTTAATCATGGAGACAACGAAGCAATGGATTATTAGGCAGATATAGCCCTTAGAAACAATCACTTTCTTACATGATTTATTTTAGACCTTCAGTGTACTGAAAAGTTTGGAATACTTATTTAGTTCTTATCCTGTTGCTAAAACATGAAATCCTTGAGGGCACAGTAAACTTTTTACTTTCTAATCTTCTGTAAACAATGTGGAACTTTTTGAAGTGTTTCTCACCTCTGTATCATTCCTTAGAGAACTGGTGTCAGACAGCAGCTGAATATCCGGAAAAAAATCACGTGTTTGTAAGGTGTCAGGCTTCAGTGACAGAGACACAACTGGATTTCTTCGTGGAAACGACACTGCTTCAGGAAGCACCCATGTGACATATAGAGATGTTTGAACTGAGTTACCCTATTAAAATAACTGACTTAATGAAAGAGGAAGGAAAGGATTTCTCTGTTCATAAGAAAATTATCAGCAAGTATATATCAAAAGCTTGTTTTCTGTGCCAAACTACGAAAACTATTACAGGTATCACCTAGCATATGCCTACACTGCAAACTGAAGTGCCAGCCAGAGATATTCCAGCTCACTTTAAATTACCTGCTGTTATAGTAGAGGCTGTCCAGCTGTGGAGTTCAGAGCTTTTGGTTTTATTCAGTTTAACTACCCCCTTAAAATAAGTTGGCTCTTCAGTTATAGCTGCTTATTTTATTAACGTTGCTGGTCTCCAGTTCATAGGTACCATACCAGCAAAACTGGTGGTTGTTCCAGTTGTGTGAGGAGAACAAGCCATGGTTCAGCCATGGCCCTGAGACATTGATTCCTCCCCATTGTGTCTAGAGGCTACTGGGAGTTACCTTGATAGTTTTTCTGACTATAACAAATTCACTTCAGTATCTAGTTTCTGCTTTAACATTGATATTTCTGTCCATTTTGCGAAGTGTTACTGAAATCAGCTCCTTAGGTTTTCTACTGTTTTCATAGATGTCTTGAACTCCAGAATGAAACAATGATTAAGATTTTAGTAAATCTTATGATATTAAGTGTATCAAACAAGAAATACCTTGGGGGAAGGACTAAAAATTGAAAGATCTATAGCAGATTCCTGCAAAGGATGAACTGGTTTTGGGGTGTTACTCAAGTTTACCTTGCTAACTACTATATTCAGAGCCTCTTAAAAAGCTAATAATAATAATAACAACCTGTATTTCTCTTGATCACTGAAACATTTGTATAAAAAAGTAGTTCTGCAATTATGTGAAACAGTATTAATGTACTTAGATTCATAAAGACTTGGAGGAGATTCAACTCCTCACCAACGTGTTTGTCAAGGGATACATTTACATTGCATGAATGATTTAACAGTTTCAGTAATAACATTGGGGGGCAATTGGTGTGATGTAGTATTTCAGAAAAATCCGAGTATCAAAAGCAAACCCTGTATTTTTATTAGCTGGAGGCTCAAAAGTAATAAATTATTTACCAAGATGAGAGCTTGTATGTTTTTTCCCCTAAATGTATCATCTGTCTAGTAAAACTTATTACTTCTCCCCACAACCTTTGTTCCCTTGCAGATAGTGGATTTAAAGTTTCAGAAGGAGAATTTTATCCCAAGTAAAACATTCCAATTTGAGGAAGAAAATTCTACAGAAACATGGTTTGTATGAGAAATGAAACCACAATTATTGTGAGCTCCAAATGCATCCTGTTAATTTTAGCTGAAGGGAACAGAGTAGACTCTCAAAATCAAGCCAAGCAAGTCAATCATCTGATTTATTACTGTCTTGTTTCTTTGTAACAGTTCTTAAGCAGCCACTGTCTTAATCTAGTAATTTTAGACAAAAAAAAAAAAAAATCCTTTAGCCAAAATCTTCTCCAATATTGAGGTTTTTTGCAGGATAATACCATGGTCACCTACTCTCCATAGAGGGAAAATATATCAAGAGGGATATTAGGCTACAGTTGAAGAGCTTCAAAGTGACAGAAGTGTATAGGCCTGAGGCCTCTGAGGTTTGTGAAACTGAATCCCGAGTCATGGGAGCTTCCTATTAGTAAATATTAAATGGAGCCTCTATGGCGTACAAATGACTGGGATGGGTCAGCAATATCTGAGTCTGAGGGCTCAGCTGCTGAACCGTGACAGTGATCTCTACAAAGGACGGGTGTCCAGAACGCAAGAAGGTGATGCTCTGTCTTCCACTGCCCAAGGAGCGCACTAAGGCTGAAAGGCAGTGGTGCAGGATGAAAAGGTACAGCTGCCTCATGAGAACATGGCCCTAGGTCTAAGGTGCTGTTAAAAAGCAGGGCTCTGACCAGTGCAGTGGGGATAGATACATAAACAGGATTTACAGGAACAGTTCTAACCAGTCTCCATTGCTGGTGAACTAGAAACTCTTTAAACAGGGTAAACGCTACCTATAACAACAGCAATATTTTAAAGCTTTTACCTTAAAGGATCTATAGCTACTGAAACCTCAGTCACAAACAGAAAAGCCAATGCAAGGAAAGAAATTATCAGAATGCTGAAAACCAGCAATGGATTAGTGAACATATTAATACTTAGACAGAAAGGCAGAAAGCTAATTTGATGACATGCAGAAAGTGGATTTTTGCTTGACAGTTTCTAAAAGTTTATCTACTAATTAATGAAAAAGTCCTATTTTACCTCCAAAATTAGGAGCTACCAAATGAAATTAGAAAAAAAAAAGTGTATTTGAAAAACCTGAATGATTTTCATCTTCCCACTCTGCTCCAAAAGAAGAAGTGCATGTTGACTCTCATTAGCCTTCAGATAAACTATCTTCAGCAGACGACACTCATCTTTGCTGTTCTGGGCCAAAGGCAAGGCTTTAACTTCCTGCCCACTTTCAAACTCCCAAATTTTCACTGTTCCTACACACAGATGAGAAAGATATACAAAAGGGAATGAACTTTCAGCAATAACCTGTGCTTCAAAGTCAGAAACTTGAACTGAATCAAACAGCAAAAGGAGAAGAAAAGAAAATCCAACTGAAGGTTCAGAGCTAGGTCACTGGTCTTTCAAAAGCTGTAACAGTGTGTGTGTTTCTTAGGAAAGCACCCTTAGGGACGCAGAACTTACCAGAAAACATCCTCATCACTAGCCCCACCATTTTTCCATCTTTTTTCCATGTCTGTTTTATGCTGCAGCCCAGGATAAAAGACCACTGCCTATCGTACTTCTGTTTCTGGACTAAAGTCATCAGAGAGCAAGCAGAGTGTGGCCTGTCGGGCAGAAGACTTCAGGTTCTGAGCTACAGCAAGGAGCAGAGGGACCTGGTTGCTGGACTTGTCCCACAGAGCTAGTGGGGAGAAGGAGCTACAGCATCATCTTAAGTGAAGCAGTTATTACATATGACTTCACTTCTGTAAGAATTGGTAGCATTCACTTTCTGTCATGCTCTTAAGATCCATAAAGGGTGTAGTCTCTGCTCCCAAGTATAAACAAGAAACATTAGCCAGTATGCTGTGTGGAAATGGCCATCTCATCTTTATGTGAGGCAGCTTTCATATATTTAATATATTTTAATACTTCAGGTGTGTACTCTTGAACATTTGAATGTGAGAAGAATTATTCAATCATGTTAACAGATTACAAAATTATTAAAGTTTGCTGCAGAATTCAGCGTAGCACTTGTGTATTGGAGAGGTCTTGTTACATTATCTAAAACTGATGCACCCTAAATAACACATGTGAAAACGTCAGGAAACAGGTAGAGATATATATTCTAGTGTTCAGTGCCTGCAGACACTATAAAATTGAGCTTAGATACTATAAAATTGAAAAACTACTGTTCTCCATCTGCAGCCATTTAGTTACAGATCTAGGTCCTAAGTACTATGAGGAAACATCTTTTCAGACCAAGAGCTTTGAAGATAGTCTTCCAGAGAGCAATATGCTAGCAAAGTACCAGAGCCCAAGCAGCCAAAAATCACCTTTCTATGAATCACCTATCAAATAAAACCCAACCAAGACACCCCCCCCACCCTTTTTCCCAGACCGACAGTTGTGTGTTCCTTTCTGTGCATGCTTCCTCCCACCTTGGAAGAAAGCCAAAATTCATTCTTCTGTCACTGAGACAGTCAAGACAGAGTTCTGTCTGCTCGTGTAATATGGCATTTTATATAAATGTAATAAAAATGTGGTAATTATTTAATTGCTTTACCATCACATGCCCCAGTAGCAAGATAAAAACCATTTATTTCAATGGCTGCACAGGTCACTTCAGTATTCAGCCCATGCGCATCTTCAATCTGATATATTTGATATCCTGTTTCTAGGTCCCAGACCTGAAAAAATAAGATGGTAATTATTTGTACTACATCCTCTAAAACTCATCACACAATGTGTTCTAGTGTAATTGGAGAAAGACGAATACTTCCAAGAGCAAATTTTCACATCCCGTGAAATAGGTTCTCTGTTACAATAGCACACTACCGTGTTCTTTTACTGAAATACTAGCGTAATTTCCCTGAAAATGTCCCTCTCCCCAGAGAAGCCATTCTGGCAAGGGGAGGCTCTATTTAGTATGCTATGAGAAAGACCCCTGTTAAGTCAGAGAGACTGTTGTTAAATATGAGTTTTTACAGTGCAAAAGCAAAGAAATCTAACTAGAAACAATGGTTTGAGCTATAATTTCCATGCTGAATATCAAAATGAGGCTTTTCGTAAACATTTGGTCCAAAAATGTAGGAACAACTATATCTGATCATTATCTAATCCTTTTGGGAATTTAAGCAATGCATTATAATGAAGTACCAGTACAAAGTTTGGTTGCTGGAGTGGGATAGCTCAGATTCAGCTGGATTTATGAAGTAGCCACTCATGTCATGTGCACCGTCTGGATCTGATTTTCTGCAGCACCAAGTGCCCAAAGCTGTCTTGTAATAATTGTAATAATTACAATTGTAATATAATTGTAATGGTGGTGTAGCCATCGTGGTCTAAAGGAAGGCAGGGTTTACAGTGAGAATCAACACCTTTACCAAGTGTGTAAAATGAACAAACCTTTACACAAACAAGCCTTTCTCCGCAGGAATGGCGTGCATCGCCAGCTGGCCCAATAAGAGGTGCTACCTCTCCCTACAAATCTTGCCATCTAACCCCATCAACAGTCGATGAAAACTGCAGGTCCTCAGTACCTCTGATGACCATTGTCACACTGTTAATTACACCAGTAATGATTCATTTTATTAATCTGTGGGTTTTCTGACACTTGCATGGCAAATATTTTTTAGTGGTTCAAATGCAAATGGTAAAGTTAATAGGCAAGTTTAATCTTTTCATTAATGTTTCAACACAAACAGAGCTGTGATAAAAAGTGATAAAAGTGATCTCCATCACTTTATTTTTCTTGTTAACTGGTTATTATATTCAACACTTCTCCCTCACTGTATGACTTGTAAGGCTCAGAACAACATGTTCTAGGAAATAATTTGAATGAGAAAAGGATCTACAGAAGGTCAGCAAATTGGCTCCAGAACTGCTAGCCAAATAGAAGCAGATCAGACAAAAGAATAAGAAGCAAAACAGAAGGACAGAAAGTCAGCTTTTATAGTTTAGGCACACTGTATGTGCCAATGAAACTTTTCAATTTTAGTGAAGGCATCTTTTCATCTGAGAGCAGCATCTTTTACACAGTCCTGTTTTTACACAGCTACTTTTTTCACGTTTTATACCAATCCATAGAATGTCTAAAGTACACATTTATATTCTACTAAGCTGACTGGGACTCAAGCACTTCCTAAACTTTAAAGAGAAGCTTATGAGAGATGCCTTCTGAATTGAAGAATAATGTGTAATTGTGCTTGCATGAATTTTTGATCGGATACACAGTTTGGCATCATGGCAGTTAAAATTTTCCTTAGTAGCTACTAAATAGCCAATGGATTTTCACTAATATTGCTATACTTGCAAGAATCCATTGCAGGAACAGGTGAAGTGTACCTATTCAGTCAAAGGAAATAAAATTACAGCTAAATCCAGTCCCTCTGAAGCCTTGCTCAATCTGCCTGGTGCTTGCAGTGCAGTTATGTCAGTGCAGGTCAGGGAAGTACTTATCTGAGAAAAGTAATGCTGCTGAACCCAAATAGTTTATTCATCATGGCTACTACTTCCCTGGACAATTTGAGCACAAAAATAGCCACAAAAGCAACACTTTGAGTAATAAACACTAATCACTTATCTAATTGCTCAGTAACTTATTTGTAATTAAAAAAGCTGAGACTTTTCTTTTTCAGTTTAAATGGTGACAACTTACACTCACCTTCAGTATTGACTCAGAGCAGATAGTGAGAATCTGGTGAAAAGCCCTGTTGTAAACCAGAACATTGATGCTTTTCTCATGTGTCTGTGGCACCTGTCTCGTATCTTGTATCATATGAGTTAGGGGATAAATATCAATGACAGCTGAACCTGCACAGGGTGAGAGGAGTGAGAATATATACATTTTGTGTATAGTACCAGTTACTTTCCCTGGATATAAAAAGATTTTATGTAAACCATAGGGTTCATTTGAGTTCTTCTGAAGAGGATAAGGAATATTGTCTGTTTCTTGAGAATATCTATTCTCTAAACTGGAAAACTTTCACACATGCTCCCCACAAAGCACCAGTTAAACAATGGCTAAGTATTCACCTGCCTTAAACAACCACCTGCCCATCTTTTATGGGTTTGATACCCTGACCCCAAATCATTAGGAGCCATAAATCTCCCAGTCCCAGAGTAGGTTGTCATGGAGTGGAATGAACCCAAATAAATAAAACTCTAATTGGCAGCTATATCACTAAAATAAATTCTGGTATCTGCTTTCTTAGAGATAAAGCAATTCTATCTGCAGGCAATGATGATGTCTTTCCAGTACCTCCCTTTATACAGCACTGCAGGTCTGAATGGTGTTTTCCAGACACTTTCCAGTGCTCTTGGATCAGAAGGGTTGCAAAGACAGAGAGGCAGATGGGGACAACAAGACAAAAGAAAGGACAAAGTTTCTACGATGCAGGCTCACAAGCCAGACTACACATGCAGCCTCCTATTGCAGTTCCAGTATTACTGTGGTTCTACCAGCAGAGGAGCAGCGGTCAGCAGTGAGTATGCAGCAAAGGATGAAATTGCCTAATACATGGCATAAGTCCAGGTATAGAGGCCAGCAGCTTGGAAAAAGGCACAGAAAAAAAGCTATGGCAATATTCAAATGAAGCATGAAGGTGAGCTGTGATTTATGGATGTTAGTGAACTAATAACTGAAAATCTCCTCTGTAAAGCCAGGTACATAACAATGAGAATTAATTTGCCCACATATAGCCTCAGTCTCTTGTCCTCTGCAGGGGCAAGGAGACATTCACTTAGCCTTTTAATGGAATCATTAACAGAGTCCAGGACCAGATTTTTACAGATATTTAGGCACTGCTCTAATCATTGTTTATAAGGGCAAAGTTACCTCATTTTGTCAAGGATTTATCCATGTAAAATTCGTACATTACTAAGCCTTGAAAATCTCACTAACTTAAATTTCAACTGAAGATCACATCTGTATCCTTTAGTGATTAGAAATCTTTAAAAACTAAACTGATTAATATTCTGGGCATTTTTAAAATAAGACCTAGAAGCTGAAGTTTCTTAAGCTTTGCAGTGCTTACTAAATGCCTAAATACAGGTAACAATTTGTGGACTCTAGTCCAATGTATATATTTAGGCTTCTAAAACAAGTTTATTGGCACAAAGATTCAGGAGGAACTACCAAGTCACTGAAAACAAAATGTTTCACATTCATCTTCTCAGATTTGACAGGCTTTGCAAGATTTGTGCCTTGTTCCGAATCCAAGGACAGAAAAAGCTGTCTCCAAAGATGATGACCTTATTTGCCTGGTATGTCTCAGGCCTCTATAGCCCCAGAACAGGTTCAAAGCTGGTTTTTTTTCCAGTGACTATGTCTCTGGGGCAGACAAACCCTGCTGGTTTCCAGAGTCTCTGCCTTAGATACAGAAGGCTAACATCCTTAGTGACACCTGCGAAGCTCTGGTCCCTCAGAGGTTCCAGGCTCCCTGCTACAGAGTCAGGAAACAGAGTCCAGAAACCTCGGGATGAGTTCCCACAGTATTTTATTCCTGATCAGTTGGACAGTGCATCTGTTGACACCACAGATTGTGGGGCTCTCTGTCGCTACCGAGTTAAATAAGGAGTTTGAATACACTTGTGAGGGCTCCACAGAGACTATACTTTGCTGCTTTGATCTCCAAATGGGAGGAGGGTGCTAGAGGAATAGTTAGGGGAAGATCAGCAGCTTAGTAGCTTTCAAGGAATGACAAGGCTACAGAACAATATCTGTAGTTTAATTTTTCTAAGGAAGGCTCACCTTGCCTTTAGAGAAGCCTTTCTCATTGCCTCTGGTTCCTACTGTTAATTCCCAAGCTGCATATTTTCATGCCTATTTCTATATTGAAATTAGCACCATATATAACAAGATCCACTTTAAAATTATCTTCATGTGCAAATACCCTTACCTCCCACTATTCTGTACATCTCATATACCTTATTCCTGTACTCAACTTCAGTTGCATGTAATCATAAAGGAAATCGCATTCTAGGAGAAGGGGCATGCTCTCACACATCAGCTGCAGTAACATACCAATTCTATATTGAAATTAGCACCATATATAAAAAGATCCACTTTAAAATTATCTTCATGTGCAAATACCCTTACCTCCCACTATTCTGTACATCTCATATACCTTATTCCTGTACTCAACTTCAGTTGCATGTAATCATAAAGGAAATCGCATTCTAGGAGAAGGGGCATGCTCTCACACATCAGCTGCAGTAACATACCAGTGATAAGCGTGCCACGATCATTGTCAAATACCATGGCAAAGGTCTCCATCTCTCCAGGACTCCTTTGATTATCATGGAAGACCTGCAGCAGCGAAAGGGTCTGTATATCCCACACTCTAAAAATCTAAAGGGAGAGAGAGGGGAGAAAAATCTAGTACTGTATCGTGATTGGATTTTCAACTACTTTTTGTTTCTATGACAGTAATATTACAGCCTCCAATGAAAATCACATTGTTAAGCATGGTACATCCCAAAATAAGCAAGACAAATATCAAAGGTATCCTTATCCCCATTTTACTAAGGATAAAAGGCACATAAAGGCTGAGTTTTGTGATCTTGACCTGACAAGTCCACAGCGGAACCAGATCTCCTGGTAATTGGTTCTACTTTATTGTGTCATACTTTTCAGTCATGTACAGATAAATGCCAATAGTTTAAAAGCTTGTATTTGAACTGGACTGTCAAAGTACAAAGTACAAAGACAGTACAAAGATAAATTTCAGAGGGTTCCGGATAAAGGAATTCCTGAAATCTTTGACTGACAGCAGATGTTGGAGCAAATCAGGATCAGGACACACCCGCAGAAGGATCATTTTTATGCATATATAGTTCTTGTGCTCTCCATAAGCAAATGCTACCGATCACAGTCGGGGTACTATCCTGTAAGGAGTATATGTATATGTATATATATATGTATATATCTAATATCTATATTACATATATTTGTTCTTACTTTCAGTTTCAATGCACTAGGTATATTAGATATATTTGTTCTTACTTTCAGTTTCAATGGAAAACACAGAACCTGCTTTAAACTCTAGAATTACTCATCAGTAATTACATGTTAGCAGCACTTATTCATCCTGCCTGATCAAAAGCTGTGTTGAACTTACTGCTATCCCATGCAAACTGCTCTTAATCCTGCAAGAAATCATGATTTAATTGCTCAGATCCCATGGCTTTTAGTGTGGTGTATTTTCCTGCAAGATAATCTTACTATGCTCTCAAAAGTTATTCTGTCATCACATCTGCCTGCAATTCTTATTCAGCTGCCAAAACCGTGGTGAGTTTTATATAGGGATTTGTGCAAGTTATTTGTATTCATTCAATTGTGTTATTAAAAGGTGGGGCTGCATTTTTAATTGGGATTTTAACACAAAGACACATGTTGGTACAATGCTCCCATCAATACTGGGAGTGTTGTGGGTGTTGACAAAAGTCATTGAATCTTTGGATGAAATGCTCCATATAATGTAAGTCCATAAAACACATAGGACAAACCCATGAAATATTCAACTGGATTTGATAACTGAGCTGCGTCTCAGACAGAAATTTCACATGAGTAATTCTGCTTCCTGTGCTACAGTTCCTGGACGTCTTCCTCTCTCACCTGTTCCTTATTCTTAACTTTGTCACTCACTTGAGATCTCAGTGGCTTTTCTTAGGTGATCTTGATGCAGTTAGTCAAATTCTAACTTCATAGTCTTGGCCAGGAAGCATGAAGCAGCCAGCCTGCCCCGACTGGGGCTGGGCTGCTGTTTCTCTAAAAGAGCAATAATTTGGGGAGATCTGATGAGGGGAAAAAAAAAATCCTAGGAAAAATTCTAGGAAAATCCACTGCCATTTCTTTGATTCATCCCAGGATCTCCTGTATGGCAACAAACAGTATGGTAAAGGTAGGTCCAAGTCCAAAGATGTCTGCAGCAGACAGCTTGGGTGCAGATTCTTGCATTATATTCCTGAAAACCTACTTAATTCACCCACAGGTAAAAGCATCTGTGTTGGTACATTAACTTGCCCATTGGGGAGAGACCATCCAGTAAGCCTCTTGAAACCGGCCTGAGCATCTGTCCATAACAGATGGGCGTTGTAACACAAAAAGAAGCAAGCAGAATTGGGACAGCAAGACTGGAAGTTCATTTTGAAATCACTGGGGGTTTTTTCTGACTGATTTATTTGACAGCACAATGACTGGCACCTTAGAAAACCTTAAAAGAGATTAGCCAGAACAAAGAATGTGGAGCTCTGTTTGGCACTTTCATATAACTTCATAAAAGTTTTAATGACATAAGCTATTTACTAAGGCCATTAACAAGTTGCGCCCCAGGAAATGACTTGCAGCCAGTCTTATCAGAAGTGCTAGAAACTACTACCTATCTGATGCGTAACTCAAATTCAGCACAGTCAGGGTGTTACTGACCTAGAAATGGTGATGACTGGTAGAAGAAAGATGGATTAAATTATCATTAAAGATATTTGATTTGCAAAATAATTGCTTTTAGCTCATCTTGCCTAACACGAAGCTAGCAATCTGACAGGAAGTACTCTGAGGAAAAAACAAGAACAATCTGTCAATCTCATAAAGAAAACAGCTACAATCAAATTCACTGCTGAAAACTCAGAAAATTCAGTTCTGTAATGTCACTCACCTTTTAATACAAAGATCTTTGAAAACCTAAAACAGCCCTGAGAAATACTTTCTCTGCAAATTTGGGATTAGATAATTTTATGTCTGCAGAGTACCACTTGTATCTGTCCATTTGATCACATAAAAGCTTAAACTTTTATTTCTTTTATATAACTATATATATAACTCAGGAAAAATTTTCATTTTACACCAATAAACAGAGAAAGTAAGTGGTTTCCCAAATGACACACAGCAAATCATAGTCTGAAACATAACCTAGAAGTTTTGACTATTTCAGCTTTCCTCACCATTGCCTATTCCCTTCTTCATTTTGAAATCTATTTATTTTTCTGTTGAACAGAGTATGTGCCCATTATAATTCATAGGCAGTATGTCGTGTCCTTAAAAATGCTTTTGATAATGAGGAAGACTTCACTTGTGCATATGTTCATGTTATGAAAAGTTGATTGCAATTGCCAGGAATGATTTCTTCCAAAGACACACACGATACAATTGAGAATGAATGTTTGTTACTCTGGATGTTATAAAATGTTGAAGTATCTCTCTTTTTTTCACTTAAAAGAGAATCTCAGCACAGAAAAAAAAAGTTGCCAAAAAACCCCAAACCAAGTAGGAGACTGTTCACTGTATGCAGAAAAAAATAAGGGAGACAATAATGGATGGAAATTATTCAGGGAGATACACAGATTTTGAGATTATTGGAATTTCCATCAGTAACCTGATTTTAAAGGAAGTTACAGTGGATCCAGCAAAATTCTGAAAAGGAAGGGAAGAAAAGAAACAGATGATACATCAATCAGTGTTTAAACAGATCACCTTTGGCACCAGAGAGAAGTTCATACATGAGTGTTTCACAATTTTAAGTAGAAGAAAATTTCTCCTGAATATTTTGTTTGTTTTCAGGAAAACTCAAAAGGAAAAGGCTCTAAAAGAACTTCTTACTGAGATTAAATTTTCTCTGAGACAGTACTGAGTCAGAAGAACCACGTCCATCATATTCCTCTGATAGACTTCTGATTACATTTCAGGAGTTTACTCAGACATGCAATTTCAAAAGCATGCAAAAAGAGAAATAGGCAGTGAGAAGGCTTGAAGAAGGAAAACTGGTTGACGAGAAAAAATTATGAAACTGTTCATCCAGCTGACAGTAGACCAGCAAAAATAGAAAGAAGAATAGGTGATGAAAGTCGAGAAAGTTAGGGCAATGTTGCAGGTAGATCTCTGTCCTGGTTTCGGCTGGGACAGAATTAATTTTCTTCCTAGTAGCTGGTACAGTGCTGTGTTTTGGATTTAGGGTGAGAACAATGTTGATAACACACCGATGTTTTAGTTGTTGCTAAGTAGTGCTCACACCAGTCAAGGACTTTTCAGCTTCCCATGCTCTACCGACTGAGAAGGCTGGAGGTGCACAAGAAGCTGGGAGGGGGCACAGCCAGGACAGCTGACCCAAACTGGCCACAGGGACATTCCATACCATGTGACGTCATGCTCAGTACATAAACTGGGGGAAAGCTGGCCGGGGGGGCCGCTGCTCGGGGACTGGCTGGGCATCGGTCAGCGGGTGGTGAGCAACTGCACCATGCATCACTTGCTTTATATATCCCTTTATCATTATTATTACTATTGCTATTATTATTATTTTCCCTTCCTTTTCTGTCCTATTAAACTGTCTTTATCTCAACCCATGAATTTTACTTTTTTTGTTTTTTCCAATTCTCTCCCCCAACCCACTGTGGGGGGGGGAGTGAGTGAACTTCTGTGTGGTGTTTAGCTGCCTGCCGGGTTAAACCACAACAATCTCCAAGCTCAGTTCTGGCATGGTCACACTTAGAGCACATAAAAACAGCTGTAAGAGCTGAAGATTAATCAGAAGTAGGTATCTATGGAGACACTGTAGTCAGGTGAAGAGAATAAGTCACTGAACAGAGATATAATGACCTTTCCATAAACATCAACCAGATGTGTGACAAAGTTAGTGAAATTATACAAAACAAAACTGAAGACAGACAATTCTAATAATCTCATGGACTATATAAGTTAAATTGGTCAACAACTGAAACATAAATTTGACATTTTATCAAAGCAATAAGAAGAGAAGGTGATTTTACAGCACAAGTGAATATAAGTAAGAGCCTCTCGCACTATTTCTTGCTGCTTGTTCAGCTATTAATGCCAGTACCACATTAAGAAAATGCAGTCACTTAAAGTGACAGCAAAAACCTGGACACGTCACAGCATTCATAAATCTCTTCCCTTCCTTCCGGCCTTCTTCCTTTCCCAGCCTGTGGGCAGGGATGGGGAGATTACATAAACCACTGTTCCACGTGAGTAACTCCCACACGAGGCATCACCAGCGTGGCCGCGAGATACCGCGTCACTGCTGTTCGTCTGCATCAGCACACATGACTGTGCATGAATTCATGCATGAAGAGTGGCAGCAAAAGGCATGCTTATTTAGAAATTAGGAGGTGACTAGGGGGAGTTGCCTTAGGAATGTTTTGTTAATAGTAACTTTACTGTTCTACTTATTTATTGAAGAACTTCCCACAGCAGCCTGACAAATGCCAGGAATCCCTGAAGCCCTCTGAAAACATATTTATGGCAAAATGCTTCTAGACTATGTCTTCTGAAGTCACAGAATACAGACTATATACAAGCAAACAAAACATATTAGGGAGGAGAAGGAGTGCGGAGAG